CTCGGTGGGCAAGGCTGAGGAGGTTGATGCTTCACCCGATTCTCTTCGTCGAATTTCTTCACTCAATACCAGATCCCGAACATCGTCGAATTTTAATTTGCTATTTCCCGACGAACTGCTGACTGCTGTAACAATAGCATTCCAACTGTCTAGTAGAGATGATAAGAGAATTAAAGCTCGAACTTCATCATCGAACTCAATTTCCACTGAACTCAACTGGGTTGTGATTATGTTGAGTTCATTTAGGTGTTGTACCATCGATGCCCCTTCCGCCATCCGCAAATTGAATAATCGCCTCATCAAATGAACTTTGTTTGAGGCCGATGGCTTCTCATACATACTGGAGAGAGCCACCATAAGACCCGCCGTGGTCTTTTCCTTTGCTATGTTGAAAGCAACATTGCAGGATAACGTCAGTCGGATAACTCCGAGGGCTTGTCGGTCGAGAAGAGCCCAGTCTTCATTCTTCATGCCCTCTGGTTGCTTTCCTGAGAGAGGTTGATAAAGATTTTTCTGGTACAGAAAATCTTCAATCTGCATCTTCCAAAAGCCAAAGTCCACACCATCGAACTTTTCAATTTTCACATTCCCTTCGTCTGCAGCCATCGCTTCCACTCGAATCTGGCTTCTTTTGGATCGTTTCTGACAATTCTTTCGAACCACCGTGTATTAGAACACCACTGTCGACAAACTCGTATCGCCGACCGAAATTTCACTATTCACGAAATTTACTATTCACGTGAATAGTAATGAATAGTAACATCGCAGAAAAATTGACAAAATTCACAACCAAAAGCTCTGATTACCAGTTGTTAGGAAAATAAACCGAGTACAAGTAATTTCCCTATAATCAGATTAGTGAGAATGCGAAATAAAAGCGGAAAAATAATACCCGAAAATTGATAACGGAGTTCAGCCAATTGTGCTTACGTCTCCGGGCTGCTGCAGATCTTTTACTAAGAGAGAAAATTTACAGGTGTTTACAAAACACTCACTACTCACAAGAAAGCTCTCTAGTATAGGAATAAAGAAATGTTTTGGGATGATATTGAAGCTAAATGGGTAAGGGTATTTATAGTAGAAACTTAGGGACTAATCTTTGAAAATACCCTAAAGTGCAATGACTAAAGTGAATTTACCCATTCCTATTTTCAACAAACATCTACCAAAATTTTACCAAACTTTAAAAAATATTTTTCAAAGAAACATTTACCAAACTTTGAAAAAAACATTTTTCAAAGTTGATTGCCAACCTTTTAAACTTTTAACAGGGGAAGAGACAAGGTTCACACAAAAAGAGAGGAGGCAAAATAAAAACCAAGTCAATGGCATCTTTTGATCTTTGTCTGTTAGCATTTTGACAAGTGGGTCAAACGGATTCCATGCAACAACAGCATCTCCTGTTTGGGACAGAAACAGGTCGGAGGAAGTGTTTGGTTGACGGGAATGAAGCCTGGTCCGAGATCATATAGGGGCTCCAGAAAATTTCCCGGAAAATAAAAATAAAAAGTAAATCCCAGAAAACCTCATGGAAATATAAAGATCAACCTAGATGACCTCGAGCCAAACAACATTCCCATCAACCGTTTCTCCTTAATTTTCTTCTTCGAAATATCCGGACCGGAGCGGTGAAATATGAGAATGTTTGAGGGGAATGAAGCCTGGTCCGATACCTTCACTTTGATCGCTTCAAAGTTCAAAGCACAGAGCCGTAGCATTGAGCCGGCCAACATTCCTCTCAAAGACAACCCATTCCCATCAACTTTCTTGCTTGATCAACAACTGAAAAGAAAACCCTAAAAGGCTTCTTCCATAATCAACAACCCCAGAGATAAATTCTGGGAAAAGAATAAAACAAAACACAGACTTCTTATTTAGCTTATATTCAAAGTTGTTTGCATACGATCATTGTTGTTTCTATTTTTAAGGAAATTTCCTTTTTATCTGAGTGTGGGCCACCACATAGGAGATAAGACCACGTTGGAAGCTGTTAAGGTAACACGTGGCATCATATGTTATATAAATTCATATAAAGTTACCTCATACATTGTTAAGATAAGCATTGAGCTCAATCTTTTATGACATGATGAAGATAATGCCACAATCGAGAAATGAACGGAACCGACAGGCACCCATCACCTATTTCAATTTTTCCAGAGTATAAGGAAAGTTCTTCACATGTCAGGTGCAGATTGAGATGTTGATAGTTTCATAGAAGAAGTCGAGCAATACACCATCCAACGTTATCGGAATAATTCAGCAGCACTTAGTAATCGGAACGGTGGCAGTTAAATAAATCTATACTCGCAGTAGTCGAGGCAATGTTGCCATCCTGAAAAGAAAAATATCAGAAGCATACCAAATTGTAGGCAACCATGAGATTCAACTGTAATGTAAATGTGAAACTGAAATAATTGGTTTACAAAAATACCAATGCCACGTTCAACTGCAGCAGCATCTTCACTTTGGCACATCCAACTAATTTAACTGCCACTTCTTAAAAGATTCTTGTTTAGAACTCTGAATCTACAAAGGTATAGTTGAAAAACAAAGCAAACAACGTAGCTTTTCTTGTTAAGTCGAAGGAGCACCAAAAGATATACAAATAAGCTTAGGCTGCGTACAGATAAACTTGAAAATTTCGTATTCCCAATCAGCCAACCGCAAGACAAATTCCAGAGTTCCCAATTTTCTTTACAGTATACCTCGCATTTTCATAGTAGCCTCAACATACAATTTAGAGGCAATAGTTGCTCCTTTCTCCATCAAATTCCCCATTTTCCAAGCCTTCTCCGCTGCATCTTCTAGACTATCGGCTTCGTCCTTGGAATCACGCTCCATTTCCTCCTCGAACCGCCTGAACTCGTCCATCGCCGTCTCCATGACCGAGTCGAGGTAGTCCTCGGCTTCCTGCATGGTTATCTCGGCTTGTTTCACTTGCTCCTCGTGTTCCAGATCCATGGCTGTCCATGCCTTGTAAGACTCGATCTCGAAGAGCTTCATTAGGTCTTCAATGGCCGATGGATCGAAGTTCTTGTCATGTAAAGCTTGATCTGAAAGGAAGGTGAATTGGGAAAGGAGAGCTTCCATTTTCTTTGATGTAAAAAGAAAGCTTTGAGTTCAAGCGCACATCTACCTAATCAACAATAATCTGCTTCAGTGAAGAAAAAGCAAGTTAGTGGCCTAGTAGGTGTATAATGGATGCCTACTGTAGTCCTTGTGTGTCAAACTAAATACTACCATTGGTTTAATTTAACGAGACGTTCAATCTTTTAAATAATTTTAAATATTTATTTTTTGTGAACAAATAAAATAAAATTAATAGAATCACTTCATAATATATAATATCTGATACAATTAATGAAATAATATATTGTATATTAGTGATTATACTTAAAAATATATCAACTAAATACCAATGACCATACAAGCCAAGAAATATCACATTGAAGAAGGAGATGGGCGATTGTTTCTTCCTCCTACAAAATACACATTTAGTATTTTCCCCAGAGCAGGCACCACGTTTAGAGAGTTCAACCAACATTGGGATTCTGCCATGCATTACTTTCCACATGAATGCCTCTACTTTTGGTGGAGCGATGTTGTCCCATACTAGCCTCCAACAAAGGTCCTCGGTAGAGCCATTCGACGAAACCAGCTCACAAAAATGCTTAGGAAGATGCTGTCCATCCGGGGACCCCAACCAAACAGCAGTGTCCGAGGAGCTAGAGGAAGCAGCAGCTCTGTTGAGCACTGATAAGAAACTGTCCCAAACATCCGATTCCCATACGAACATTGCCCTTCCAATCTCAATGTTCCAATGCCATTCACCATTGGATTCAGAACCAAACTCATTCACACAACCAGATTTTTTAATGGCCAAGCCGTAAATCCTAGGGAACGATTCTTTAAGAGAGGCAACTTCTGTCCAATAGTCGTTCCAGAAGTCTATGGACTTACCATAGTTTAAGATGAGAGGAAGGAAAAGTTTGTCCAATAACATAACACAACTCCTACTGTGGGTAATTATTATTATTATTATTATCCAAATCAAAGTATACATATGCACAATAAATAATGTATCCATTTAATTTATAATTTTAATTGATTGCAGAGTACACCCTTGGCTTATCATTGGTTCACGTGCGTTGCTCATATTGATCAACTTCTTCTCTCCCTACTAAATTGAACCAAAAAGAAAATTAAATTAAAACTGAATATTTAGAAAAATAAAATAAAAAGAAGTTGAAAGATGTGTACTCTCTACCAAGCAAGTGAGGTGACCCTTTTCTATATTTTTCTAATGTCAATTGCCACGTTGCACACCATTTTAATATAATAAATTAAAATTAATTCAATAAAATGTATAAGTTTTAAATATTAAAATTATTATTATATAGTGTCATTTCATCATTTTTGTTAAATCAATATTCAAATTTAACAATAAAATAAAAAATAATATAATATTATATATTTTTTGTAAAAAATAATACTTATATGATTAGAATAAAAATATATTATTTATTATTTAAAGATAGAGTAATTAAAATAAAAATAATTAAAAATTGGAAAAAAATTTAAAATTAAAGATTAATATGAATAAAAATAAATTTTAGAATCTTGAAATAACTACATAGTTTGAGATTTAAATGATATTTTCTCTCAAATAATTTAAAATTGACTTCAAACTTAGAGTCCAAACTCTATAAGGTCAGTGTGTCAATTTTAATAGTTACTTCAAAATGCAAAAATTCATACCTTTTTAAAAAAAAATAATTACAAGTAGGAAAAAATACAGCAAGGTGAGTGTTAGAGAGAGAAAGTAAAAGGGTGTTATAAAAATTGAAGATTTAGTAGTTAATACTCAAAGAGAGAAAGAGAAGGGCATATGCATTGCCCACCATTAACGCTCGTCTCGCAATCCACACCATTTGGGTTTTGTAGGTGAGTGGAGATTTACAGAGAGAGAGAAAGTGAAAAAAATAGTTAAGAACCCAAGGTAATAAGAGAGATAGAGAGAGAAATATTGTTGGGTATTCTTCCTTTTTTTCCCCAGATGCACTTTCAATGGGGAAAAATGAGGACCAAAATCTGCAGCAACAAAGAGAGCAAGGTCTTGAATCAGGGAACAATGAAGGGCATTCGGGATTCTTGTGTGGGATATGTTGGTTGGTCTTGTCGAGGCTTTCTAATGAGTTTAGTTTCAGATGTGTTATTGTCTTGTTCCTCAGCTTGTCGGTTTTATTGCTTGGGATCTTCTGGATCCTTCCTATACGATCAGTGAAATCTGGGTTTGATGCTAAGCAAACTATTAAGCTCAGTGGTAAGACTTATTTTCAAACTTAGTTTTTCATATTCTTTGTGTGATTAGGGCTTAAATCTGGGTTTGTCTGATGTTTTTGGCAAATGGGTTTTTTGATTTTTCATTGCATTTTTTTCTGTTTTTTAGATCCTCAAGTGTTTAGAGCTATTTGGGTATTTCCCTGATTGATCTCTCATTCACCTTGTAATTGATACCTGATACTTTATTTACCCTTTAGTGCTTGTGAATTCATAGATTCAAAATTTAATATAAATATGGAATTTTAGTGTTTTAGAATATGACTTTCAGTTGGGAAAATTGTTGTATTTATGATAAAATGTGGTTCCAATTAAAATTGTATCATAGGAAGTGATTGTTTTGCTATATTTAGAGTATTTCTCTTTTTATCAAAAGAAGCAAACACTTAATGGTTTGTTTCAATGCTTTCCTCCAAGGTTTTTTTTCTTGTAAATAAAGATGTCAAATTTGTGAGATAAGGGATATGTTTAATTGTTCTTCATACTTTAAATTGATAACCTGTTGATCGGCTTAGAAACTGGTCATTTTTTTATAGAAATTACAGGCCTCATTAAAAACCCTCTTCTTGATTAAAGGAATTCTTGGGAAAGTTCCTTAATCATAGGAAGGAGGAAAAGAGTGCCTTAGGATTTTATTGATCAGGGACTCATTACATAAAATACAACCAAAACACACTAACAAAGCCATAAAAATTACATAATATTTAAACAAAACTCCATAACCGACCAAACCTTTCTTAAACAATATCAAAACTTTCCCAGCCCCTTCAGCCTTAATAGACCAAGAACCTGCTTGAAAACCTCTATGACCCTTAATAATATTCATCCAATCCCCTGTTTAGCTAGAGAATCAGCCTCACAATTGCAACTCCTCGGGATATGTCTAATAATGATTTCCCTCTCCAAGATTATGGAATCAATTTTTTGAACCAACGAACTAAGAAAACGAGGAGATGAAGTCGGAAACAAAATCCAATCCACCACTGATTTACAATCACTTTCTATAATTAACCTTCCTTCCAAAGCCCAATCCGTCGAAAGAAAGAAATCAATGCCTTTCTCAATGGCTTTCAGCTCAGCGAGTGGGGGGGGGACCTGGACCAACAGCGTGCGAGAAAGACCCTAGAATTTTACTATCCGAGTCTCTTAAAATGCCCCCAATACCCCCCAGCAGCCCATCCCCACTAACTGCCCCATCAACATTAACTTTAAAAAAATGAAGTGGAGGAGGACTCCATCCCTGCACCTTGATCCTTTTATGGTCACTACTCTGATGCTTATCTGCAAGTGTAGGATCCCCTATAAGAGAGTCAACCTGAATGGAAACATTCGGGTACTTGGCTAGGAACCATTTAACCAATCTGAATCTGCATATGAAGAAAAGAGTATATCTGTCCAGTTTCCAATCTTCAAAAACCACTGAGTTTCTTGCCTTCCATAATGACCATAGAACTACCCCCGGAATAAGGCTCCATATAATTGACTTAGGCCTTAAGTCCGACCAAGAACACAGCAAAGAGACTGGATCTTTAGGCAATACAGACGAGACTCCCCATAACCTCCAGAACTTACTCCATACGTCCCATGCAACCAAACACGATATGAACAAATGTTGAACTGTTTCCTCCTGTTTAGCACAAAAAGGACAAAAGACCTCCTCCAAAAGAACTCCTCTTCTAATCAACTCCGTTCTAACTGCCAATCTTTGATGAGCAACCTGCCAAAGAAAGGTTTCGACCCTAGGAGGAGCCAAACCTGACCAAACAAACCTTTTCCACATGAAATTACCCCCTGAGTTGGAAGAAAGGGTCAACCTGCAAGCTTTTGCAGTGAACAATCCATCTCCCTTCCCCGACCATGCCAGAAAATCTTCCACCGAATCCGAGAGACCTACATTCTCCAATAATGACATCAAGAGAATCCAGTGATCCAACTCCCAATCGCAGAGATTCCTCCTCGTCTGAATATTCGAAATCCATTTGTTCCTCATTATACTGCCAAACTCTGAAACTTTACCCCACTTATTATTAGAAAGAGCGTAAATCCTTGGAAATTGATTCTTTAAGGAATCCTCGTTTAGCCACACATCATGCCAGAAATCAACCGACTTTCCATTGCCAATTTGAATCTTCGAGTGAGATCTCAAACCATATCCAATTTCGTCCTCTGCCAAAAAATTCTTTGTAATACCCTTCCATATCCAAGAATCCGACGGAGAGACTGCCCTGCTGAGGTCTAAGGACTGGATGCTCACATTATGTCTGCTGCAAATCATGTTCTTCCAAAGTGAGTCTTTTTCGTTAGCGAACTTCCACACCCATTTACCTAGCAGCACTCTATTGGCGAAATTCAAATCCAAGATTCCCAAACCACCTTCCTCTAAAGGTTGACAGGCCCTTTTCCAATTCACCCAGTGAATTCGACCCTTTGAAGGACCCTCACCCCACAAGAAGTTTGCCATAATAGAGTTAAGCTTCCTATAAACCTTACTCGGCATCCTGAAAATAGAGAGGAAAAAAATTGGTAGAGATGATAAAACAGATTTAATCAGCACTAATCTGCCTTCCATAGATAATGTAGAAACTTTCCATCCGGATAACTTCTTTCTAAAACTTTGCATAACTGGCTCCCACAAAGCCTCGGAGTTTCTTTTTGCTCCTAATGGTAGACCTAAATATACTGTAGGCAGTACTCCAACGGCACAACCAGTCTCTTTCGCCCATTCATTTAATGTCTCAACCTCCACATTAATCCCATACAAATTACTCTTCGACAAATTCAGATGAAGTCCAGTCATTATGCTGAAAATCCTCAGGACTCTCTTAATATTCTGAATGTAAGTAGATGATTCTCGGCAAAACAGAATCAGGTCATCAGTAAACTGTAGGTGAGTTAAACTAAGGGCATCCGAACTTCCAAAAGCAAAACCCTGAAAAAGTCCCACATCCGCCGCTTTTAATAACATGCGATTTAACAGTTCCCCCACTATATTGAACAATAAAGGAGACAAACTACATCCTTGTCTCAGCCCTTTTCCCATCGAGAACTCCTTTGTAGGAGATCCATTCATTAGTACCGATATTGTCGCTGTTGAGAGGCAACATTTTGTCCATGAAACCCATCTGTCCCCAAAGCCCATGACTCTCAATAATCTAAAAATAATTGGCCATTCAACCGAGTCATACGCCCTCTGAAAATCAGCTTTGAAAACCACCCCTTTCAGCCCTTTCTTCCTCCAGCAGTCTATACCTTCGTTTGCAATAAAAGCACAATCAAGAAGTTGTCTCCCCGGAATAAATGCGAACTGTGAAGGGCTTACAATATCTTGAATCACTGAAACTAGTCTTCTAGCTAAGACTTTGGAGATGATTTTGTAGAGACTGCCAACTAGACTTATAGGTCTATAGTCCTCAATGCATTCCGGATTGTTTCTCTTTGGAATCAGAGAAATGAACGCGTGATTGACACCATGGTCCCATTTTCTCCCATAATAGAAATCCTCCACAAACTTCATAAGTTGTCCCTTCAAAGTTGGCCAGAACTTCTTGTAAAAACCCATTGTAAAGCCGTCCGGACCTGGGGCTTTCGAACTGTCCGAAGAGAAAATAGCCTCCCTTACTTCCTCCTCTGAAAACATAGTCTCCAAACTAATCCTCTGATCTCCTCTCAATTTATCAAAATCTAGATTTAAGTTCTCCACCTCTAAAAAATCTTTGGAATTAAAAGCTTTCTTAAAGAACTGAGAAACATGGACTTTAATCAACTCTGGATCTGTTATCACCTCACCATCCACTTTCAATGCCGAAATAGTGTTCAATCTGTTTCTGTTTACAGCACATATTTGAAAGAACCTAGTGTTTCTGTCACCATCTTTGATCCATTTCTGCCTCGACAGTTGACACCATATCCTTTCCTCAATTCTGTGCATTTTCCAAAGCTCTTTCCTGGATGAAAGAAGCTGTTCCCAGTCCAAACTGGATAGCCCACCACTTTGCGCCTTAATTTCCAAGTCATTTATTTTGCGCTCCAACCTCGTAATATCTTCAGATATTCCCTGTGTATTTCTGGTTGGCCAATCCTTAATACGCTTTTTAGTACTTTGTAATAACCCGAACAATTTTCTTCCCCCTCTATCATCGTTTCGATCTTACATTGCATTTTGAACCATATCTACGAAGCCTTCATCCTCCAACATATAATTAAAAAAACGAAAGGGTTTAGGTCCCCAGTTCTTCCCATCTTCAACCAATAAAATCGGGTTATGATCAGACAGGGATCTAGGTAGCAACTTCTGAACCGACTTGGGGAAGCATCTTAAGAAGCTAGAACTTAATAAGAAACGATCAAGCCTTACCCAAGTGGCACTTTCTCTATTACTACCCCAAGTGAACGAGCCACCTACCATTGGTAAGTCAAGTAGGTTTGACTGTTGGAGGAAATTCCTTAGCAGACCCATTGAATGCCAATTTTGTGATGCACCTATCTTCTCATCTTGTTCGAGATATGCATTAAAATCTCCACCAATGCAGAGTGGCAGATCAACCTTGAGAACATAACCCAACAATTGCGTGAAAAACTCCTCCTTATCTTCTTCAACAGAAGGACCGTACACATTGATAAAAACACACTCCACCTTAGACACCTTGAACTTCCCTATTAAGACCTGAAATCTACTGTGATTAAACATCTCATTTACCTCATAAGCATCTTCATTCCACAGACACATCAGTCCACCCGCAGACCCCTCCGCTGGTTGAAAACTTAATCCCTTCAACAGCTTACCTCCTAATCTTCGATTAAGTCCCTTCTGCCTTTTACTCAGTTTTGTCTCCTGTAAAAACATAACAATCGGTTTGACCTTATTAACAAGTCTCGACACCCCTCTAATCTTTTCCTTTCTTCCTAAGCCCCTAACATTCCACGAAATAATATTACACTCCATCATAAACACTTCAATCCCAAACCTTCAAGAAATTAAAACTGGCTTACAGACCAGCTTCATCCATCCCCCCTACACCTTCCTCCATCTTTCTAATTTTATCCAAAAAAGCCTCCCTCCCTTTCTTGAAAGAAATGCCTAATCTCTGACAAACTTCCCAAGTACTCAATGCTTCCTCAAGAACATTAGAGAAAGAACTAGAGTAGACTGTAGAAACTTCTGCATTGGCTAGAGCTTCTGATATTAGTCCTCTTCTCTTCTTTCTGTATAATCTCCTATTCCTTGAAATAATAGACGGATCTACCACCCCCCTAATTAGAGGCAGACTGCTATTAATGTGGCCCGGGGAAGTATTCTGATCTAGGGCAGAGCCGATTGAATCCTTATCCTGACCCCTATCCCCTAAAGCTGAAGAACATTGTTTAAAATTATGAAGAACTATCCTGTTCTGAATGTGTCTGTGACTCACCTCTGAACAAAGCCAAACTCTTCTTGTTTTCGACCTTTTGTACACCCTATCAAAACGTCCACAACCCCTCAAACTTGTAGAGGTCTTACTAGTTGACAGGCCTTTCGACACCTGATATCCCAATCTCCATCTCTTGCAACTCTTCACCATCGGATTACTAATATCCTTTTTAGATTTGCTACCTCTTTTACCCCTATCCAAAACCTCACTTTCCTTACTATTATCCAACACAACCTCCACCCTGATACTACTGTTTTCCTCATAAGAATCAGATAGTATTTGGTCCTGAAAATTATTTTCATTATCCACAGGACAGCACTGGGCTGAAGGAACAAACCCATACTGCTCAGGCCCAACCTCTTCAGATCTACCCATTATAGAAGTAGTCCCATAATCTTTGACTCATTTATCTTGTCCCGAGGTACCATCTTCCACGCTGAACACCCTTTTTCTCTCAGCATCAGGAAACTCTGACACAATCTGCTTGCTTTTCGTCTCACCTAGTACTGTCCCCTCAACACAGTGGTCAGCTCCTATAATATTATTGACTTCCATGTTAAAATTCAAATTGTCATCAATCCTCGTGCCAGCCCCATGAGCTGCACCTGACACCGACTGGAAATTCAACTGTCCTTGCAGATCTTCTCCATCTGCCCCATTGATCCCTTCCGATCGAGTTTCTGCCCCCGGGACTACTCGACCTCCCACAGAACCACCATCTTCTACCCCACCATCAACAACCCCTTCATCTAGCTCAGGAAAGAACTCATCACAACCTTCCACTTTAATCTTAATAATAAAGGATCTACCATAAGTATTAATGATTTCCTGGGATGGTATATCAAACGGGCTTTCCACTCTTAACAACATACGCGCTACCCTACAGTCGACTCTTTGAGCTGTTTGATCCTGGATTTTTACTAGCTTGCCCCATCTTGCAGCCAAACTAGAAAAAAATGGCACTGACCAGCAATTTAGAGGGACACCCATCAAGGACACAGCACAGTAAGATAAAGGAACACCCTTTGACTCCAAGACAGGCTCCAGCCTTTCAAACCAGAAGGACAAAGCCTCCCATTTGTCTTCCACCGCTGCGATTTTCTCTTCCTCCGACTGAAAGACGATCAGACATGCATTTTTCGCATATCCCCATCTTACCACCTTGACATTAAAACCCTCAGTCCTTAAACCTCTCTGCACAAGCTCCACTTCAAACATCTCTTTGCATATGCCAGTTAAAGAAGATCTTAACCAAGTTCTTTCTTCCGATGGGATATGCACTTCCAACGACTTCTTAACCTCCATCGAACCTCCCCCTCTATTCCTCTTTTGACCCTCCGAAACAACCCTTCCCACTACCGAATCCTTATAAGATCTTCCATCATGAAATTTGCTAAGCAACTCCCTCCTTCTCGCCTCAACTTGGCCTATTGATCTCTTTCCGCGCGACTCCACTTCTCTGACCTCTGCAGACCCCACACCGGTATCTCGCTCTCGACTCGTCGGATATCTTCTCTTCTGGTATTTTGCAATCGACACCGATATTTTCCGACCATCTACCACAACGTTATTCATCCTATCCTTTGCATTGAACAGATCCTCCTTACTAGCAAAATGCACAAAAGCGAATGTATAGTCCTTATACTTTGGCCTCCTATTAACGTACGGAATGAACACTTTGGTCACCTTGCCAAAGTAACTAAAACGCTCCCATAAAACACTTCTATGAACTCTCCTACTAAGATAGTCTATGAAAGCTACCCATGCTCCATCTCCGGACAGTGCTCCATCTCTGCCTGAAGGGTCAGAACCAAGTGCCACGTTCACTCTCTCACTAACTTTCTCACTCATAATTTTTTCCAATTCTTATAAAAAAATAGTTAAATATATACTGATAGAAATGCATTACTATTTCCTTGTCTGTGGTTGGGCTATATTGGAGATATGACTGTTTGCATCTTTGTGGAGGGAGTAGGTTCTAGTGTGCAAATGCTAAAAAGGCTAGAAATGGTCCTTCAATAGAAACTGGTCATTTGATTTGTTTCTTTATTGATTCCAACTGTCTTCTTTGACTTGCGATATTTTTCCTCAAGTAGAATGCAGTATGCATGCGCCTTGTTGCTTCAGTTGTATTTCCATCATAATGGATGGACCTTTTCATTCAAGTGATAGGCTTCCATAAGTAATTTTCCTTGTTTCTTGCTTATATATTCATTTACTCTTTGCAGCTCCGATTCATGCATGTTTTACACTTCAGAAACCAGTTTCGGAGCTTGTTCAGCATATTGAAAAGTTAGAGTTTGATATCTATGAAGAAATTGCTGTTCCATATACCAAGGTTCTACTCTCAACTTCTATCACATTACATATATTTACCTCTATATCATGTGAAAATTTATCTAAAAGCTACTCCATTTGACAGGTGGCTATCCTATCCATGCATCAGTCGGGTGTTAACTCTACTAATGTGGTATTTGGTGTTTTATCCGATCCTATAAAGAGTCCAATGAATCCAGTAGCCCTTAGTGTGCTGAGATCGTCTTTGATTGAGCTGTTCCTTCGGCAATCCAATCTGACTTTGACGACTTCAATTTTTGGGCATCCTTCTGATTTTGAGATTTTGAAGTTTCATGGGGGCATCACTGTAATCCCTGTACAATCTGCTTCCATCTTTCAGATAACCCAGTTTCTGTTTAATTTTACTTTGTATAACTATATATCTGAAATAGAGGACAAATGCGTTGAGTTGAAGGATCAGCTTAAGTATGGGCTACGCCTGAGGTCTTATGAGGTATGACATCGGTTGTATAACAATTTCACCAATGCTTTTGTTTTTGGGTGAATCTATGGTAACCTCTTAACCCTAGTTTAGGAAATTAGGACCTTGAAGTTTCATCATCGCATTGGAACAGAAATTCTGGGTTATGGGTTGAGCGAAAGTAGGTTATTTGCCGTATGGATTTGTATCCTTTGACGCCTTAACGTTTGGGTCCTATTTGTTGGTGTGTTAATAATTATTTTGATGTGTTCGTTGCAGAACTTGTTTGTGCAATTAACAAACCAAAATGGCTCCACTATGTCGTCACCAGTCATAGTGCAGGCTTCAGTGATGTCTGATAATTATGGTAACCTTCTGCCTCAGAGATTAAAGCAGTTGGCTCAAATCATCACGCACTCTCCTGCAAAGAATCTTGGTCTCAATAACTCGGTCTTTGGTAAAGTTAAAAGCATTAGCTTATCATCTTGTTTGAAGGGTACACTTCATGCTACCCCTCCCACTCCTTCACCGGCTTTGGCTCCTGGGCCATCGGTTTCATCGCATCCCAAGTCTGTACCAACACATGCGCCAGCATTGTCACCCAAGATTCATCATTTTGCACCCTGTCCTAATTGCAATGCTGTTTCTCCATCTGCTAGTAGTCCCCTGCATTCCCCGGGTCCTAGAACCGTCCCATCTCTTCCACCTTCAATTTCTCCTGCATCTTCTAGTGTAACAACTCCCGCCCCTCCCCCTTGTCCATATTCTCGTCCTGTAGTTCCATCAAGCCCTCCATTAAGATCTCATTCCAACCTAATTCCTAAGCACCCATCAGTAGTTAGTCCCCGGTCACAGTTGCCCCCAAGTCTACCACCATTAGCTTCAGTGTCTTGTGGATCCCGTCCCAGCCAAAGTCTGGAGCGTACAAAAGGCCCAGTTTCTGCACCTCTTGCTAAGTCTCCATCTGCACAATCTCTGTCATGTAAGCATCTATGCTAAGTAAACTATGTGATGCTGCTTTTGTTCTGTTTTCCATTTTATAAAGAATTATATTACTTCATACATATTTTTTCAAGCTTGAAGGTAGTATTGCCTCATCAAAGTTTTCAGCCTTCATTCAACATTCTTCCAGCTGGCATCTATATATAGCTTGTTAATGGTGGTTTCAACCATGGAAATGCCAGTTGGAGTGTTGGACATGCATATAATTATCAGTCTTGTTTCAATTATAACTCATTGTAATGATTGTTTTTGTGATCGTTGTCCTGCAGCCATAGCAGTTCGTGTTTTCCCCGAGGGATTCTGTTTACTAGGTGTTTCGGGAGTCTTAATCTTTCATCTCCTTTTATGATTGAATAGATCCATCACGCCATACCACCCTAAGTTCCAAAAAATCTGAAAGACTGACAGGTGATTTTCATTTCCCAATTTTGATATGGCAAGAACAGTAGAACCACCTGTGAATAACACACCCACAAGCGTCCAAGTTTTTCATTTTCCTTCAGTCTATGCAATCGATATATATATATTCGAACAAGATGGAAAGATGAACTGCTGGTCAAAGCCGGAAAGTTGGCATGCCACTCATCTTACTTCAGATACAATGTCATCACACAAGAGAAACATGAGATGTTTTTCCCCAAGGGAATAACTCCTATAGATGGTTTGACTACTTAAGAAGCTAGCATACCGTCTCCGATATTGATTCAAGTGTAAAGAATTATGATGTTGCTTTTTTAGCAAGTATAATGTAGGGTAAAGGCGAAATGTAAAAACCAGTGTTTTATAATAATGAAGGATAGATAAAAGAGAGAGTATATACTATTGAATTTAGCATGTTGATTAGATTCTTGTAATGAATGGAATTCTTAAATGGCAGGATCAAATTACAAGTTAATGAGCCTAGTATGGTTTAGTTCATTGCTGGCCTTAGTTTAATATTTCCAGGCAGGTCCATGCAGCCAGGTCATTGCTGCTCCCCCATGCGAGCAAAACACAACACAGCTTCCCTTGTGTTATCAGCTGTACATCAAAAAGTTCTGCAGATCTGCTTAAGTTGGTCTTTGAAGCTTGACACTTCACACAGATAACTGAGGGTACCTTGTGGGAGGAGCGGAGGAGGAACCCTATGGCTTAACCGGCGACGGAGAGAAGCTGCCGGGGACTTGAAAGAATATTTACATGAAAATAACAATTGTGTGTATATGTATGTATATATATATATACATCCATTTCTATGAAACTATGACTAATCACTAAACTCTGAATATTTACATGAACATAACACCCATTTTGTTTTCACGTGTTCAGAAACTGTAGATACTTAAGAACCCAAGTAAGAAAATTTGCTAGCAACAATAAGAACGATGAAATCATGAAATAACTTAATCGCCATAAACAAGATTTCATGTACGTTTAATTAAATGAACGAACACGAACAAAAAGTTCGTATGTTCATTTATGTTCGTGAACGTTTGATAATATGTTCATTCATTTATGGTCGGTAGTTTATATTCAGTCCAATCTTCAAATTTGTTTAAAATATTTAAACCTAATAAATTTTAATCTTAAACACATCAATATTTTAAAACTCAAATAATTTTAAACCCTAATAAAAAATACCCAAATTAATTAAAGATAATATAAATCCTAAAATTATTTAGAAATAAATTTTTCCCAAATACAAACTCAATTAATTTTATATCCGTTCGTTTATATTTGTTTGTGTTTATTTATGCTCGTTTGTTTGTGTCTGTTTATCATTTTGACGAACGAACATGAACGAATAAAAACAAGCTACATTCCTTAACGAACACGAACAAAAAATTTCATTCATTTAATTGTTCGTATTCATCTGTTTGTTCGATTAAAGTTAAACGAACGAACATGAACATGTTGAAAATTCAATATTAGCCTATATGTTCACACCTAAATTAATTTGATGTCATTGCTTACATCAATTTAGTTTTGATGTCATTGCTTACATCAATTTAGTTAGGTGAAAATTAAGTATTTTTCTCATGTTTTAATTTCAATGGTTTAGATTATTTAGTGTTTATTTTAATGAGTGGTTTAGATTGTTTCTTGTAACCTATAAATACCTTACTTGTATTTGAGTTTTATCATCCAACAATCAAAGCTTAATTATAAGCATTTGAAAGCTTTCTTAAGAGTTCTTCCCTTTTGCAATTTTGTGAGATTATTCTAAAGAGAGTTTTTTTTTTCGATCAATTAGAGTTTTTACTCTATTTTGATTCAACAATTGGTATCCGAGCCACGTTTTTTAAGATCTCTTGAAATTCTGAGTATGCTCTGTGGCTGCAGTTTTTAACTGATCTTCCACATCAGAAAATATTTCTTGAGTTATTGTCGAGGTTATTACAAACCTTGTGGAACTTCTTTGTGTTTAGAGTAATTTAGTACTCTGCACGTTTGTTACTCAAGCTTGTTCGGTGTAGTCAAAGCCTTGCCGTTAAGATGGGTGATCTTCAAGTAGTTGGAGGAATCAAGAAGCTCAACAACAAAAACTACAACACGTGGGCAACATGTATGGAGTCATACTTACAAGGTCAAGACCTTTGGGAGGTTGTCGGTGGTGGTGAAGTTACACAACCGGCGACAGAAGATGCCAATGGAATCTTGCGAAAGTGGAAAATTAAAGCAGGCAAAGCAATGTTTGCTTTAAAGACCACAATTGAAGAAGAAATGTTGGAGCACATCCGGGATGCTAAACACCAAAGGAAGCATGGGACTTTTGTTACACTCTTTTCGAAGAGGAACGATACAAAATTGCAACTTCTCGAGAATGAACTTCTATCAATGGCACAACGCGACATGGCGGTTGCCCAATACTTTCACAAGGTGAAGTCGATATGCTGTGAAATTTCAGAATTAGATCCGACAGTTGCTATTAGAGAAGCCAGGATAAAAAGAATAATTGTCCATGGTTTGAGACCCGAATATCGAGGGTTTGTTGCCGCTGTACAGGGATGGCCGACACAACCATCGCTTGTTGAGTTCGAAAATTTGCTTGCAGGTCAAGAAGCCATGGCCAAGCAAATGGGAGGAGTCTCGCTGAAGGGTGAAGAGGAAGCGCTCTACACCAGCAAAAGCAGAGGCACTTTTCAGCGGTATACTGGCAATGGATCTAAAAAGGATGGTGACAAGGTGAAAAATTACCAAGGAAAGGGAGGCCCTCATTCAGGGGGAGCTTCCAAGAATCGCGATAATAGTAGAAAGTTCGATGGCAAGTGTTACAATTGTGGGAAGATGGGACACATGGCAAAAGACTGTTGGACCAAGAAAAAGCCTGTTGAAAGTAATACTGCTACTTCTTGTTCGAAGGAGAATAGTGAAGATGGTTGGGATGCTGAAGCGTTATTTGCTACGGAGGAAGAAGAATTAGCTCTCACGGTAACAACACCAGAACGGATTGACTACAAGAATGATTGGATCGTAGATTCTGGCTGCTCAAATCATATGACGGGTGACAAACAGAAGTTGCAAAACCTGTCTGAGTATAATGGAGGTCGTGTGGTGGTGACATCTGACAACTCAAGGTTACCGATAACTCACATCGGTAAGATAATAGTTACTCCTCGATATAATACTAACCAGGTGCAACTCCAAGATGTTTACCATGTCCCAGGAATGAAGAAAAATTTGCTATCTGTGGCTCAACTAACATCATCAGGCCATTATGTCTTATTTGGTCCCCAAGACGTGAAGGTTTATCGTGACGTAAAAATCACAGAAACACCAACAATGGAGGGACGACGTTTGGAATCAATTTACGTGATGTCAGCAGAGTCTGCATATGTAGACAGGACAAGGAAAAATGAGACATCAGATCTATGGCACATACGGTTAGGTCACGTTAGCTATTCCAAGCTAAGTGTGATGATGAAAAAGTCGATGCTTAAGGGGCTTCCTCAACTAGACGTGAGAACAGACACTGTCTGTGCGGGATGCCAGTATGGTAAAGCACACCAATTACCATATGACGAGTCGAAGTTTAAAGCAAAAGAACCTTTGGAGTTGGTTCACTCTGATGTGTTCGGACCGATTAAGCAACAGTCAATTAGCGGTATGCGGTACATGGTAACATTCATTGATGACTTCTCCAGGTATGTGTGGGTTTTCTTTATGAAAGAAAAATCTGATACTTTCTCAAAGTTTAAAGAGTTCAGAGACTCAGCTGAAGGAGAAGTGGGAAAGAAGATATGCTGCTTGCGCACAGACAACGGAGGAAAATATAGATCAAACGAGTTCTCTCAATACCTAAGGGAATGCCGAATACGTCATCAGTACACTTGTGCCAACACGCCACAACAGAATGGTGTAGCGGAAAGAAAAAACCGGCATCTTGCAGAAATTTATCGAAGTATGCTACATGCAAAGAACGTATCTGGAAGGTTTTGGGCTGAAGCAATGAGGACTGCAGCCTTTGTGATCAACAGACTTCCTCAACCAAGGTTAGGATTTGTTTCACCCTTTGAGAAACTATGGAACATAAAACCTACAGTTAGCTACTTTCGAGTATTTGGCTGTGTATGTTATGTGTTTGTTCCTGATCATTTACGGAGCAAATTTGATAAGAAAGCTGTTAGATGTATCTTTGTGGGATATGACAGCTAGAGAAAGGGGTGGAAATGTTGTGATCCAATTAGTGGAAGATGCTACACGTCACGAAATGTGGTATTTGATGAAGCATCTTCTTGGTGGTCCTCAGAGAAGGAGGTGTTGCCAGATTCGAGAGAATTTGGAGACAAACTACAACAAAAGATGGGGGAGCATGATGTTCAACTTCAAACAAGTTCAGATGAATCAGAAGATCCAAATGGCGATGTCAACAACCAAACGAAGAAGGTGGGCCTAGTGAAACAGAAGAATCAATTCCACAATCTCAACTTCGAAGGTCAACAAGAATACGAAGGCCAAATCCCAAATATGCCAATGCAGCCATAATTGAAGAAGCAACGGAGCCTGAGACGTTCGAAGAAGCATCGAAGAGTTCTGAGTGGATGACAGCTATGAAAGAAGAGATCGATGCACTTCAGCAAAATCAAACTTGGGATATTGTACCAAAGATAAAAGATGTGAAACCCATATCTTGCAAATGGGTTTAAGATAAAGCGCCGTCCAGATGGGTCAATCGAGAGGTACAAAGCGCGATTGGTAGCTTGTGGTTTCTCTCAACAGTATGGATTAGACTATGATGAACATTTAGTCCAGTGGCGAAACTTACAACCGTACGAGTCTTACTTGCACTTGCAGCCAACAAAGACTGGAACTTGTGGCAGATGGATGTAAAGAATGCTTTTCTTCATGGAGAGCTAGATCGAGAGATCTACATGACCCAACCAATGGGTTTTCAGAGTCAAGATCATCCTGAACACCTCTTGCTAAGTCCATCTGCACAATCTCTGTCATGTAAGCCTATGCTAAGTAAACTATGTGATGCGCTTTGTTCTGTTTTCCATTTTATAAAGAATTATATTACTTCATACATATTTTTTCAAGCTTGAAGGTAGTATTGTCTCATCAAAGTTTTCAGCCTCATTCACATTCTTCCAGCTGGCATCTTATATAGCTTGTTAATGGTGGTTTCAACCATGGAAATGCCAGTTGGAGTGTTGGACATGCATATAATTATCAGTCTTGTTTCAATTATAACTCGTGTAATGATTGTTTTGTGATCGTTGTCCTGCAGCCATAGCAGTTCGTGTTTTCCCCGAGGGATTCTGTTTACTAGGTGTTTCGGGAGTCTTAATCTTTCATCTCCTTTTATGATTGAATAGATCCATCACGCCATACCACCCTAAGTTCCAAAAAATCTGAAAGACTGACAGGTGATTTTCATTTCCCAATTTTGATATGGCAAGAACAGTAGAACCACCTGTGAATAACACACCCACAAGCGTCCAAGTTTTCATTTTCCTTCAGTCTATGCAATCGATATATATTCGAACAAGATGGAAAGATGAACTGCTGGTCAAAGCCGGAAAGTTGGCATGCCACTCATCTTACTTCGGATACAATGTCATCACACGAGAAACATGAGATGTTTTTCCCCAAGGGAATAACTCCTATAGATGGTTTGACTACTTAAGAAGCTAGCATACCGTCTCCGATATTGATTCAGTGTAAAGAATTATGATGTGCTTTTTTAGCAAGTAAATGTAGGGTAAAGGCGAAATGTAAAAACCAGTGTTTTATAATAATGAAGGATAGATAAAAGAGAGAGTATATACTATTGAATTTAGCATGTTGATTAGATTCTTGTAATGAATGGAATTCTTAAATGGCAGGATCAAATTACAAGTTAATGAGCCTAGTATGGTTTAGTTCATTGCTGGCCTTAGTTTAATATTTCCAGGCAGGTCCATGCAGCCAGGTCATTGCTGCTCCCCCATGCGAGCAAAACACAACACAGCTTCCCTTGTGTTATCAGCTGTGCATCAAAAAGTTCTGCAGATCTGCTTAAGTTGGTCTTTGAAGCTTGACACTTCACACAGATAACTGAGGGTACCTTGTGGGAGGAGCGGAGGAGGAACCCTATGGCTTAACCGGCAACGGAGAGAAGCTGCCGTGGACTTGAAAGAATATTTACATGAAAATAACAATTGTGTGTATATGTGTGTGTATATATATATATATATATACATCCATTTTTATGAAACTATGACTAAACACTAAACTCTGAATATTTACATGAACATAACACCCATTTTGTCTTCACGTGTTCAGAAACTGTAGATACATACGAACCCAAGTAAGAAAATTTGCTAGCAACAATAAGAACGATGAAATCATGAAATAACTTAATCGCCATAAACAAGGTTTCATATACGTTTAATTAAATGAACGAACACGAACAAAAAGTTCGTTTGTTCATTTATGTTCGTGAATGTTTGATAATATGTTCATTCATTTATGGTCGGTAGTTTATATTCAGTTCAATCTTCAAATTTGTTTAAAATATTAAAACCTAATAAATTTTAATCTTAAACACATCAATATTTTAAAACCCAAATAATTTTAAACCCTAATAAAAAATACCCAAATTAATTAAAGATAATATAAATCCTAAAATTATTTAGAAAGAAATTTTTTCCCAAATACAAACTCAATTAATTTTATATCCGTTTGTTTATATTTGTTTTTGTTTATTTATGCTCGTTTGTTTGTGTATGTTTATCATTTTGACGAACGAACATGAACGAATAAAAACAAGCTACATTCCTTAACGAACACGAACAAAAAATTTCATTCATTTAATTGTTCGTATTCATCTGTTTGTTCGATTAAAGTTAAACGAACGAACATGAACATACTCTCATTCGTGTCCGTTAGATTGACATGGTTGTTAATCTCCGATGATAATTTATGTTTTTCTCTGCCGAAGGTGAATTGGGACATGTTGCAGAACAGACAAAAATAAAGAACAGTAACGTACCTGACAAGGCTCCAATATCTTATAATTTTCCATATTTTTTCTTCTTGAAAGTATAATATATACATACCTGCCTTCCAAAGTGTTAAAAACATTACCAACGGTTGCAGTTGGTGATTTTGTAACATTCCAATTATCAGATCAGTGATAAAAATAAAAGAATTTAAAATTTAGTGGTTTTATTAGAATAATTTGAAATTTCAAGGATTTATTGTAGAAATTTTTAGTTAGGACTTGATATTAAATTGGATTAGTAGAAAGATAGTATGGTCTTTTAACCTGAAAGATTTTTTATCTTCTCTCTTTTAAGGGATGTAACACGTGGAAAGGAGATAAAAAGAATAGAAAAGTCTAGAGTTGATTCTTATCTTCTTCATAGTGCCTGTGAACTCCACTTCCAAAGACGTTGCACGAAATCAACTTCATGTCAACCCGACATTATAAGTTTGATCAAACATGATAAGGACTTCGAGGACTTCAGTGAGGCAAAGGTGAGTGTAACTTCTTCGTTTTGTATTAGAATTGAGGAAGACTTGCGATAAGTCAACCTCAGTGTTTTCGATCGAAAACCTTTAAATTTCTTTTATGTTATATCTTTATAATGTTTTATTCAAGTTCTATTATTTAAGCTGTGATTAATGATTATGAGTATATGATTATGGAAATGTGATATGTGAACATGGGTATACGAAAATTCTCAATGTGAAAGTGCTTATGTGAATAAGAGATACTTCCAATAATGAATGATAATTAATTATGTGGTTAAAAGCCCAACGTATACGTTTGAAGATTAGATGTATAGTTGGCATGCCAAGAGTCGAGGGTTCTATGTGGTCATTCGAAATAATTATGTGACACTTCGGTGCAAACCTATGTGGCAGTTTGGTGCAAACCTATGTGGTCCTTCGAGACAATTATGTGGAACTTCGGTGCAAATTACGAATTGTGGTGACAATATTAGTGTACAACCTCAATGTACTCAAATACCTAGAGTTCTCAATAGTATACATTGGGTATTTGGAAGCAAAGCTATATAAAACGAATAATATACATAAGTATACCTTCTTGTTATGGAAAATAATTTGGAATTCTTTATGAAATGTTTCGATAAAATAAATAAATATTTCATCTATAAAGTTTAGTACTCTTTAGTTTTTGCCTCACTAAGTCATCGATTTAGCGTGTGGTTGTTTCACACGTAGGTTTGAAGAAATCAGAAGAGTGAAGCTAGTCGTGGATATCGTACTCCCTTGAAGATCATATCAAGACAAATTGAATGTAGGCTTCTGTTAACTTTGTAAACTGTTGGCATGTACTACACGTTTAATTTGAAATGTTCTTATCTATTTTTGTAAACTCATACTTTGTAATTATGTAAATTATTAAGGTTTTATGGAAATAGGAATAGAAGTTCATCAATTTCTTTGAATTGAAAGGTTTCACATTGTTAATATGAATAAAAGTTTAAATTTGTTCTTATTTGTAAATAATCTATGTATTGAAAAGTCAATGTGACACATCGAATTCGTATCCGGGTAGAGTATAAGTTAGGGTGTTACAGATTTCTAGACGGAAGCTATAAAATGAGCCAAGATGGCCACCAGGAGCTAGCTGTGGGGAAAATCATAGCAGCTGTGTTACAGAATTGCTATGTATGTGTGTATGCATGGATTAATTACTCATAAATATTACTATTATACATACATGCATATATATATATATATATATTTATGTAAACCATAAGCAAGGAGAAGATTAAGCGCAATAAATCCTACCCTAGCGGGAGAGATTACTTGCATTGGTTCTGCTACCAAGAAAATCGAGATACCGGTGTGTCCAGTGAGAGAATGCCTGAAGAGGCCCTGAAGAGAGGAACCGAGTTCCCAACCGGGTCAGTCCATTAACAAGATCGTCGACCAAAAAACTGACGTACCGGAAAAACATTTCACCGGTTCGATCATCGTTGTTATTGGCGGCTGCAGTGTCAACCGTGTCATTATCGTCATTGATCTCGTAGCGACTAACAGGGGAGGTGTTGTGAATGCTCAGCCAAGATACAATACAATCAGAGTGATACAAATGGTTGCACGGTAGCTCTTTTGCTTCGCCATCGACCACAAATTCATCCTTGCAAACGGGGCAATGCGTGGCATTGATCAGATGGTTTTCCACGATTTTCACAATAGGCAACGCTTCGATGGCCGAAGCAGCTGCCGATGGAGGCCCTGGCCTGTCGGTTTCGAAATCATCTAACTCATTGCCTGTATCTTCAAGTGCATCAACAGGACTCGGCTGCTGACCAGTTCGTTCGACGAGAGTGACCAAAGGTCTATTTTCAGGGCCTGGTTGATCCCAACGAACTCTTCTGTTAGTGCTTTGCCGCCTCGTCAAAGGATCGGGAACGGCGACCAACGTATCGAACAACCTGGTAGTCGTCTCGTAGGGTTCGACGCCATGATCAGCACGAAGCCTAGGCCTTGTGACATCCAGCTCGTGACTAAGTTGACGAAAACAATGGGGACAATAAGTTTCAAAAGGGTTTGAACTGGTGAACCTTATGGTTCGTTGGCAACGGAGACACCAGAAGTAATGATAAGTTCTCATCCTTGGGACTCCATTGACATTAACACCAGGACGACGATGGCTTAGAGACATGGTTTTTTTTTTTTTTGGCTATGAAAATGGGGATTAATTGTGTGTTTTTAGAAATGTTTTGTCCCTCTCTCTTAAGATTAAGGAAGAAGAATTCATAGCTCATTATATACGTGAAAAAGGAGAGAAGAGAAATAGCTTGGAGACATGCAGCAAGGGATTCCATTTCTCTTCTGACATGTTTCTGTGCTTTCCTGGAGAGTCTTAATTTCCCCAGTTTTGACTTATCTTGTAGGGAAAGCAAAGGATGAATTGAATTAATGGGCTTTGTTTTCTTTAAAGATTATACAGTTTGAATACGTATATTATTTGTACACATTTTCAATAAAGAAGTTCCAAATATTACACTAGTGCAAGTGTAAAATTACTATATTTTATTAAAAAAATTAAAACTAATATTTTGATAAAATATCTGTCATGATCTATTCACTTTGATTATATATGATATTAGATTGATTCAAAATTTTAAATGATAATAATTATAATTATATTAATAAGTTCGGTCATTAAAGTATTGGGTAAAATTTATAAATGACCTCTTAATTATAGAGTATTACTTTGTTGAGTCTCGACCATTGAAAATTATAAAATAATATAAAGTGTTACTTTGTTGAGTTTTCCAACTATTAAAAGATACAAAATAGTAACTCGACTATTTATATTATTTTTAATTATTATTCATCCAAATATGTTTTTAATGAAAATTCTAAAAAAATGTAAATACAAAATTTAGTAAAAAATAAATATCAGTATATATATATGTGTGATAATTGTCATGTCATCATTTTACACATAAAATATTGTCACATCATTATTTATATATGTGTAATGATAGTGTCACGTTAGTACTTTGAAAACATAAGATATATCACATCAGTGATAAATGTTGATTTTTAACTAATTATTTATTTTTATTTAAAATAAAATGCAATAAACTAAAATACTTAAAAAAAAATTAAGAACCAAATAATTATTTAGTTAAACATTAAGGGTGAATTTTGATATTATACCTAAAATAAATTGATGGCGGAAAAGTACTTACCTTTTGATGGTGTGGCCCATGAACCACAACTTGACAGCGACACGACCCAAGCTCAAAGAGCCGGCTTATTCGACTCGCTAAAAATCCACCCGAGTCGACTCACTTATTTTTCCTCGCGGATTGGGTTGGGTCAGCTAAACTATCCATCAAAAGCCACCCCAAATCCCTCCTGCCTCTCTCTTCATTTTCTCTCTCTTGTGGGAGGAGGAAAATATAGCCAACAGCTTTCTCTCCATCCAAACACGCGATAGAAAATGTCTCATATAGTGTTCCAAGCGTCTCCACTTCCCAAAACGTTGTTGTTAAAGCCTAGTCTACCGCCTCCGGCTCATCCTTTATCCGGTAAGCTCAAGAAGAATCTGACGGTGATATGTTCGTCTTCTTCTTTAATCGACGGCTTGGATTCCTCGGTCGCTGCTCTCGAGCGTTGTTTCTCGGCACCGCCCTCTCCGGTGGAGCTCGGTTCTTCGGGTTCGGGTGAGGTGGGGCCGCTTATGAAGGGAGGACAGTACGGCGCGTTTGGTGCTGTCACTTTGGAGAAAGGGAAGCTTGATTTATCTCAGAAGCGGACCACGTCTAGCCCTGAGGTTAGCTTTCAGAAATTATAACTTTTTCCTAAGGAGTTAAATTAAGCTTAATTAGAGCAGGCAATTGCCTAGTATTTAAGTATCAAAACTCTCTAAGTATTTAAAGGATATTTAACGATTTTAGATACTTTGATAAACTTTTTTAATATGTAGAATGAATTCGGATGGAAAATTTAGCTTATTTCTGTTATTTACGCTTAACGAAGCTAAAAGGGAGACATTCCTGCTAGAAACTATATCTTTTTGTTAAACGGATGAATTTTGAAAAGTTTATCTTCCATGACGTGTATTTCAAACTGGAGGTTTAATTATGAGTTTAGGATCCTTAAAACTACCAAAATTTCAAACTGGGGTTTATCTTTCAATTCATTTGATTGGATGTATCCGTGTGTGAATTGATGTGTTTTAACTAGATGTTCTATCTGACAGAACCTAGCATATATCATACTGAAGCTAGTTTGCATTTGAGTTAAACGAGCTTCTTAGTATACTATTTCTATCCCATCTTTGAAATTCTTCATTTGTGCAAGATATGAAGAAAACTTTGCAACACACAATGATGAATACTAAATATGCTTTGGAGTTTGGACCTTTTGGTGTTATTTTTGTAGAACGCTTAAACATTTGCAGTGTTAAATTAGGAACACGGTTATTTTTGTTTGAATTATAAGATATCCTACCTACATGTGATTTAGCATGCATGATTTACATATGATATGGATTTAAATACAGTAGTTGATTTGTTGAAATATATATTTCATAACAAGTTATGGCCTTACATCAGGTTTGTGCCTGATTTATTGTTTAGACATCTTTATATTAATGCTACTCTGTCGGTTGTGTGTGAGGAACTGGGTTTGGATGCTCATCCTACTAACCTCAATAATTAGCTTCTAGTGTTTTTAGCATCATGTTCATTTTTTTATTTTAAATCAGATGTTTACTTCTTGCAGTTTTTTATTTGTTTCCGTTTCCTTGAGAATATTGTTCAATGTTTTGGAAGTATCAGCTAATACCTTTGAATTACAGCTTGCAACGGGGGGAGGTGGTGGAGATATTGGAAAGAAAATTAATCATGGAGGTGGGGATGGAGGCGATGACGATGGAGATGATGATGATTATTTTGATGACTTTGATGATGATGGGGAGGGAGACGAGGGTGGACTCTTTAGAAGGCGGATGTTTCTGGAAGAGGTAAGAGATCAAAGTCTAGCAGATTCATTATGAATATTTAACAACTTATTTAGCTAAATGCTTAAGGAATAAATAATCACCTGAATTTTTGGATTTTCCAGCTTTTTGATCGAAAATTTGTAGATGCTGTATTGAATGAGTGGCACAAGACAATGATGGACTTGCCTGCTGGCTTCCGACAAGCTTATGAAATGGTTTAGTAACTTTTCTTATTGTTGTATCACATGGTCAAGGGCTCTGTCCGTTTGTGGTCAGATGCTGACTAAAGCTTTTTGCCTTCAGGGATTGGTCAGTTCAGCACAAATGGTAAAGTTCTTAGCAATTAATGCCAGACCAACCACCAGTAGATTTATTTCTCGAACACTCCCACAAGGAATGTCTCGGGCATTTATTGGCAGGTATTCCTTGATATGCTCATGTTCTCATCTTGAGGATGTCTCCAGCAATCTAAATGAAATGAGTATTTGATCACAGTGTATCGTTGAATCTGTCATTGATACTCATATATAATGTTTTCTGTTATTAGGATGCTGGCAGATCCTGCCTTTTTATACAGGCTTCTTTTAGAGGAGGTTGCTACAATTGGTTCTTCTGTTTGGTGGGAGGTGAAGAATCGAAAGGATAGGTGATTTTAGATAGCATGATGAATGTTTGCCTTGTTTATCCATTTTGATAAATCAAATGAATATACTTACTTTAGTTTTGTCTACAGGATTAAGCAAGAATGGGATCTGGCTTTAATGAATGTTCTTACTGTAGCAGCTTGCAATGCTCTTGTAGTTTGGTCACTTGCTCCGTGTCGTTCTTATGGCAACACCTTCCAGTTTGACTTGCAAAACACATTGCAGAAGCTTCCAAACAATATATTTGAACGGAGTTACCCGCTTAGAGAATTCAACTTGCAAAAGAGAATCCATTCTCTTTTCTACAAGGCTGCAGAGTTGAGTATTGTTGGATTAGCTGCTGGAGCAGTGCAAGGCTCTTTGTCAAATTTTCTAGCCAGCAAAAAGAAGGAAAAGTAAGTAAATTTCACTAATCCTTAGTTTCTTTTATTTGGAAAGAAGAATTTTTTATTCTTGGTAGTAGGCTTCTTTTACTCGTGCAATAATGGTGGCCACTTTTTTAACTGTTGGCAGGGTATCTGTGACAATTCCGTCTGTGAGTGCCAATGCACTTGGTTACGGGGCTTTCCTTGGACTCTATGCAAACCTTAGATATCAGCTTTTATGTGGATTTGATCAAGCAGTGGTCAACCATTTTGATGTCATTGGTGTAGCGTTGTTCTTCAGCACTGCTTTAAGGTCTTCCCTTTATCTGTTTCTCTTGTTTTTGTTTTGCCAAGCTATATTGCTCAGACTCTTCATTTTTCATGAAGTACCAGTGGCCGACATTAATATTAGTATATCGTTTTGAAAATCTCTAAATTGATATTTTTTTGGGTACTCTGTTGGTTACTTAAATGGAGTTTGTGGTGTTTTTGCCTCACCTAACTGGTTATATGCAGGGTTTTGAATGTCCAATTAGGAGAGAGATCGAGGCTGGCTTGGCTAGGTGTTGAGGTGGATCCACTCATTCAGTCGGATGACCTCTTGAAGGCTTACAACAGACCTTCTGAGGATGGCACCAAGTCATCTTCTAAATGGTTTATATCCAAGAACGCCATTGTTTCCGGTCTTGGACTTCTTGGCATCAGACAAGGAAATGCTGAATCGGTTGCTGACGGGGAAACTGGAGCTCCAAAGGCCCGGAGAAAGAGGATTGTCCGGAAGAAGGTAACCGCAAGCTCTACATAGTTAGTTGACATAAATATCATTCCAGTTTTGCTACTTGAAGAAAGAATCTCCACAAGGTGTGGACTCGCAACGATATCTGTCTACTGCTCTGATTAGCGGTTAAAGAAATCCACATCTCACCATCTTTATTAAAGAGTAGCTTGTAGATTGGTTTTGGGGAAGAGTTCTTGACTGCTTGTATTCGTTTCTATTAAATGTTAAATATTTTATTATATTCAATGAAGTTCTACACTCCATGCTGTGCCCTTATAAATTGCAAGGGATATAGATGAACTACAATTAGGGTTGTGCAAGTTTATATGAAGTTATCTATCTACCATGTCTTTCCCGTGTTGCCCCTCTTGTCCGAAGATCATCGATTGATTCATATTTGATAACTACCATTGTGAATATGATTACGGCTTAGTATTCAATTGAGTTAAATTAAAATATTTTGAGTTAATTGGACATACGAGTTCTATTTTAGGATTCTAATTTTATTTAAAATGTTTTTTTGAGTTAAGTCGAGTTTATGAAATTCGAGTCGAATTCAGTCACATTTTTGAGTTCGTATTTAAGTTTAATTGTAAATATTTATAATGTTATAATATGGATTGGGTTTAATGACTTTCTATAATTATATAAAATATTCATATATATATATATATATATATATATATATATATATTCACATTGAAATGTTATTTAATAAATTAAATGTAGTATAAAATTATAAAATATATTTATAATTTTGTTTTTCTAAAAAGATATTTTGAGAAAAAAGTATCAATAAGAGTATAAAGGAGTCATGAAATTAATGAAAATAAAAAAAATTGTAATAAGAAAACAAATGGAATAAAATGAAAAATTAAGGGATTAAAATATAAAAAGGAAAAGTTACATAGATATTTTATACTGCTAGAAGAATAGTGATTCAAATTTAATCAAAATAAACTTAAAATTGTAAAAGAATTGAGAATAGGAGGAACCCGGTATAAATATTCAAGTTAATCGAGTTGATTCGAGTAAAATATTTTAAGTTAGTCGAATTAATAAATTATATTTTATCATCTAAATTTTATTTGAAATTTTTACGAATCAAATTAAATATATTAAATTTCAGTTGAGCTAAATCGATTTTTTGAAATCGAATTTTACTCGCCTAGCTAGCAACTATGCATATTGGTTAAGGAATCAAACAATTGTTTATATTTGATAAAAAAAATTAGTACGACAGAGGCAAGGTATCGATTGGTTAAGGAAGTAAGCAAAGTCGGTCTTTCTGGCAACTGATTGTAGATTCACCAACTCCCACACGTATTCTCCTGATTTCAACCCACATCAGTCTACATGGCCATCTCCAACTTCCCCTTGCCTGCAGATTTTCTCTGCTATGGCATTGCTTCACAATCCCATTTTTCTATTTTGCATTTTCATTTTCTTTGCATCAGGTAACTTTCCAGTTTCCCGTCTTTAGTTATCTGTTTTCTTTCTGGGTTTAGTGATAAATCATAAATGTAATCACTTTGCATTTATGTTTGATAAGGTGCAACAATGCCTGCAAATGCCAAGAATTTTACCCTTGTGAACCAGTGTGTTAGATGAAGTCTAGATGCTGGTGCAGTTATGCCAGTTCAGCTTTAGTTGTTATGGTCCTTATGGATGTTACGTCAGCTAGGATTGTTAGCTGAGCCTTACTATTCTTTGTGTATATAACAGCCATCTGTGTACTGTTTAGTAAGCTTCTTGAATAAGAAATCTATCTCGTTTGTTATCTTTCTTTAGATTTCCTAACATGGTATCAATCGCCATTGTTCTGGGAATCGTTTCTCCGCTGCTTTCGTCTTCCTTGTTCTGAGGTTCTGCTTTTTCTTGATTGTGTACCTGCTGTGCGTCTCCGATGGCTACCACGATTCCCGGTTAAAGTCTTGAGGGTGGAGATCTATCCAGGAGCGGCAAGGTTTTCACAAACAAGAAGATAAACACCTTGCTTGATGTGAACTTTTTACTATGGAAACAACAAAGTTCTATTGACGGTGAGGAGTCATCGTTTGGAGCGTTTGCTTACTGGCGAACTCCACCTCCGCCTGAGAAGATAGCTGATGCTGAGAGCAATCTCGTTCACAATGAAGATTATGGGATATACTTTGCACAGGACAATGCGTTAACTTCTTGGCTGTTGTCCGCCATTAGTGACCGTCTTTTACCTCAGTTTGTTGGTGCAGAAACAGCTGCAGCTGTCTGGACCACTGTGTTGAAATTTTTTGCTAACATATCTAACACTAGTATTATGAGTCTTCACTGCAAAATGGCGTCGAATCACGTTCTCTCATACGTCGGAGCAAAATGGCGTTGTAGAACGAAAACATCGCCATATTATTGAACTTGCCCTTGTTCTGCTCTCTCAAGCCTCGCTACCGTTTCGGTTTTGGTCATATGCGGTGTGCACAGCGGTTTATCTTATAAATCGATTACCTACTCGAGTGAAATGTCATTTCATAAACAGTGAATATAAGCATACGGGATATTAGATTTAGGGTGTCGATGCTTTCCTCATCTTCGACCATATCAGAATCACAAGTTGTGTTATAGGTCATAGCCAAGCACCTTTCTGGGTTACAGTCCACAACATAAAGGCTACCAATGCCTTGCTCCTGATGGGAAGGTTTATACCTCCAGACATGTGGTGTTTGATGAACAATGTTTTCCTTTTGCAGGTGTTAAGGTGCAAGATGACACTGCTAGACATACTAGACATTGTTTTGCTAGGGCTGCTACACTACCTGTTGTCACTGGTGCTGATAGAGTTTGCAGGCAGTCCACACAGACATATCGATCTGGTGGTATTAATGATAATTGTGAAGGTGTTTCGAGGTCATCTAGAGATGAGAGGACTCAAGAAGCTGCTTGTGGTACAAGGACTGATGGAGAAATGGCAACTAGAGGTGCTAGTGCTCAAGATAATGGTAATGGCTCGAATCCGGTTGTAGATGTGATGAATCCAGTTGTTGTTGAGGTGGTGCCTACAAGACGGTCTGGTGAGGAATCAATAGGAGTGTCTACCCTGCCACCAGTTGGGCATCATATGATGACGAAAAGTAAGCATGGAATTTTTAAACCGAAAACTTACATGGCCATGCACGATGCTGAACCCGAGTCTGTGTACGAAGCGCTCCAATAACCAAACTGGAAGGTGGCTGTACAGGCTGAATTTGATGCGCTTGAAAGGAATTGTACCTGGACTCTTGTAACTTTACCTGAAGGTAGATCTACAGTGGGCTGTAAGTGGCTGTTTAGAGTCAAGAGAAACGTTGATGGATCGTTGCAACGATAAAGCAAGATTGGTGGCCAAAGGCTTCTCTTAAATTCCTGGGCAAGATTTTCATGATACCTTCAGTCCGGTAGTCAAATGATCAACAATCAATGTTATCCAAGCTATAGCAGCAAGAAACAATTGGGTGTTAAGGCTGATTGATGTGAACAATGCGTTCCTGAACGGGGAGCTGCATGAAGATGTTTATAGCAGCAGCCCCCAGGGTTTGAGAAACAGGCTGCTAACGGTGATGTGTTAGTTTGTAAACTGCGAAAAGCCTTGTATGACTTACGATGGGCGCCTAGAAACTGGTATGACAAGTTGAAGGATGCCTTGCTGAGTGTAGGGTTTGCTAGTTCACAAGCAGGCAATTCATTGTTCATTAAACGTGAAGGAGGAATAGCTACTTATGTATTAGTCTACGTGGATGATATTATTATTACGGGTGGATCGAATGACCATGTAGAGAATGTAGTGCAGCTGCTTGCTGAAAAGTTCGCTTTAAAAGACTTGGGCCAGCTCAGTTTGTTTCTTGGAATAGAAACAAAACGTGTGGGAAGTTCTATATTTCTCAGTCAGAAAAAGTACCTCATGGAACTGCTTGTTAAAGCCCGCAAGACCAGTGCTGCATCTGTCCCACCGCCTATGGTTGCTTCACTTAAACTCTCCAAAGATGCTGGTGATGCTCTGGAAGATGCTAGGGAGTATCGTAGTTTGGTTGGGTCATTGTTATATGCGTGTCATGCCCGGCCCGATATTGTATACTGCGTAAATAAATTAGCACAGTTCATGCATGCTCCTCGTGTGCAGCATCTAGCTGCTGTAAAACGTGTGTTAAGATACTTGAATGGAACCCTAGATTATGGCTTTCTGTTCTCTTCAGCAGCTGCAGCAGAACCCCTTCGAATTGTTGCGTTTGAGGACGCAGATTGGGGTGGCAGCATGGATGACAGACGCTAGATTTCGGGGAATTGTGTGTACTTGGGAGGAAGTCTTGTGATGTGGAGCTCGAAGAAACAGAAGACTGTATCCAGATCAACTACAGAAGCTGAATATGGGAGTTTGGTAGATGTGGCTTCTGATATTACATGGTTGAATGCGCTGCTGAATGATATGGGGGTTGAAGTGCAGTCTACACCAATTGTCTGGAGTGACAACTCGAGTGCTATAGCTATGAGTGTTAATCCAATATACCACTCCAAAACGAAAGATGTTGAATTGGTCCATTGGATATTCACTTTGTTCGAGAGAAAGTAGCAGACTGGTTGAAAGTTAAATACGTACTTGCTGAACATCATGTTGCTGATGGAAAGCATCTCGAGGTCCTTGGTTACTACAACCCTTTGCCAGGTCTTCTTCCCTCTCTGCTTCTTTAATCTTTCGATCACCATTTTTTTCATCTGATTCAAATAGAGAAATTGCTTATAAATTTCTATATATCCGTTTCTCTTGTACAGAACAAGATGGAGGTAAACGAATGGGTCTTAACTTTGAAAGAGTGAAGTAAGTTTCAATCTTTAAAACTCTAATTCTCTTCATTTTGGCCATAAATTTCGTTTTCTCATTTGGAGATGTTACCATTTTGCTGTAGCTTGAATTTTCTTTCATTGTGAATTATTGAATTTGTCAGGTATTCTGCAAGCACCTTGGAATCAGTTTGTAGCATTGGTAAAGTTAGCTTTTTTCCTCCAATTTTATGCGCATAGAATCAATTTCAGGGTCTATTGCTCCGATTGTTTGGCCTTGAGAGTTCAAGCTTGATTAGAGGAGAAGGGGGGAGGTTAAAGTATGACAATTTATAAAGTTATTCTTCTGAATTTGTACATTGTTATGAGATAGTATGAGTGTGAAAGGATTAGTCAGGGAGAAATGCTCTCCGGTTGGAACTTGGCGGGAAGAGCCTCTTCGTTCCGATAGGCAATCATCTAGGTAGTTGCTTCTTATGGTTTCCTCGGATTCAAGTAATAGACTGTTGTAGCCGTTGCTAGCACTTTTAGTGCATTAACCTTCTATTGGTACCGTTTTCCTACAGGTACTGGTTATCAGTTGTGGCGCAGCCTTCAGAGCCAGTCCAACGCATTCTTTTCAGAGCTGGGTTATTGCCCCCGCCTCCTATGGCGGCAATGGGATGCAAGGGCGGACCACGTGACTTGCACCCCGTTGATCCTATGACAGGATGTGTTTTGAATTTGGAGAAGCCAGATGTTGAAGATGGGGATCGTATTGAAACTGCTAGCTCTAGTACTTGATCATAAGATTTCATCTTTTTGTTCCTTTCATTTGTTGTTCCTTTTATTTTTCATAAGATAAACCTACTGGAGTGAATGTCATTGAGCTTCCACAGGCTTGAACCTTAACTTGTGCTTTGAAGCAGAGTTTCTTGAGAAATATCCAAACTTGGAAACGTTTTGATTGCCGGTTATCATATAATTTATTTTTGAATTAATCAATGGTATCAAATCAATATAATTTTACTTTATCGGTTGAGTGTAGGGATGGGCATGGGACCGAACACGATGAGTTTCGATTCGATCCGATCCGATCGGGTCGGAGTTTTTTTTATAAAAAATGTGATATTTGGGTCGGCTCAGTTGGATTTTTTAAATGTGATGTTCGGGTCGGGACGGGTCGGGTTTAAGGTGAAAAATATCCGACCTGACCGGAAAATATACATTATATATTTAGGAATAATTATAATAATACTCCTCTATATATTATTATTTTTTTAATTAAGTCATTGTTTTTATTGAATAAAAATATTATATTTTTTATTATTTCGGGTCGGGTTTTTAAGTTATATATCTGGTTGGGTTCAAGTCGGGTGAAATCTTATTTTGGTCGGGTCGGGTCGAATCTCAGGTGGAGGATTCCTTGTTCTTGGGTCAGGTCGGGTGGACCAAAAATCCGACCCAACCCAACCCATGTCCATCCCTAGTTGAGTGCATGGTATTAAATTGTGGCCGCATTGTAACATTTTTCAAGGTCACCATAAGTCCATCACACTATAAAATCACATCCGCAACATAAATACATATTTATTTTTAATAATTAAATCACGTCGTAATGTCCGTAACATTCGTAACCGCAACCAAAAATTAGTACTATGGTTGGGTGGCATCTTTCTACTTTTGCTGTAAATGATAATTATCAGTAGAGTGACAGATTCGTTGCATCTAAAAAATGTAAGTTTGAATATGTTTAAATAATTGATCCGGATCTTAAAAACAATAATTCTTTCGAATAAATATGAGTAATCAAATAAAGCAAATCGATAAGACTCCATACCTAAAGCTGTTAACATCATATAACCTTGGGATATCGTAGAATAGGTTAACCCCCTCTTAATATAGTTTTGAACAAGAACCCCCTAATAATATCATTACTATACCTATCGAACCTATTAGACTGAGATTAACCTAATCTAGACACCCTGATTTGTAGTTTGAACCACCTTAGAGACTCTTTGCATGAGATCACTCGTGTTTGACAGTTTGAGGCTAAGTCATTACATATCCATTATTTTGAGTTTGGAATTATTTGTATTTATTTATTTTGCTTTAAATCACTCTAGGACTAAGTTGTTTTGAATTTGGATCATATCAGATTGAACTCGGTTGTTGATTTTTTTTATTATCCGAACAAAGATTGGTACAGATGTGAATGCCATAGAAAACAAAGTAAAGCTGCATGCATATATAGGGTTTCTAAAACAAGGGTGGTGGTGCAGTGGCGTTGATGGCCATCTTCAAACCACCGGCACATATGTCGGAAACACTATCGATGAAATAATTAGCTCCGAACGCCAGTTGGACTTTCTCACTGCCAGAGTCCAACACTTTTGCCCCAGCGTTAACAGTGCAGGTATCAAACCCTTCTTCATTCACCAGCGCCACATCGAACCTCTGATCATCAAATTCAAAAACTAAACCAACAACAGCAACAATCACAATATGTATATTACCGAGACAATACTTAAATGATATTACAGAGAAAATTAGTAATATTACCGAGAAAATCACCAGCATGAAAGTTTTTTCCTCGAGTCCAGCTTTGCATGTCAATAGACAGGTCCCAACCTTCTTCATCTCCAACATGATAAGTGACCGGTGTTGAATCAATGGCCTGAAACTGAAGCAACGTTATGATGGCCAATACTGCTGCTGGGAGGATTGTTGTTGCCATTCTCGTCTCTTCTACAAGGTATTTTTTTTACTATACATGTCAAATTTATAGAGGAAACAATGAGCTCTGGTGCCCTCCATTAGGGAAAAAAAGACACTGATTTTATATTAAATCAATTTTACTCCAGAAAATATGGCACTGAACTGGCGAATAGTTTGTTTAGGTAAGTAAATACAATTGTCATTTACTGTCGCATCCCTAATAAATCAATATTTACCTAATTTGAGGGTTTTGACATCACAAAATATTCTCTTCTGACATTGCCATTAACTTATTTAAAAATGTTTTCATAGGGAAAACAACATTGGGTGAGCTTTGCCTCCCGTTTCCAAGTCTGACCCGACTTGACTCCGAATATATTCGAAACTCCTGTGATTACCGGATACAGTCTCGGACCAAATAAAACAAAAGTGGTTTATGCTTTACCTATGGGGCAAGATTGTTTTGTTTCTTTCACTCTGCCAATGGTGGTATTTTTGTGTCTTCGTTTTCCTTATCTCTTGTCTTGTTCTTCAAGGTTGTATTTAGTGGTCTCTTCTTCTAGGCAATCTGGGGTGTACTTCTCCAAGAGCAGTGTCAATTCGTTTTCGAACCCTTTCTCAAGCTCCACCAGCTCCTCCCAATACCGCTGTGTGATTACTAACCTTCTGTCTTGATGACTTTTCATCAGCTTCTCCCTCTCTACTTCGAATTCCTTCATCTTTTTCTCTTGAATTGCTATGAAATTCGCATTTTCCACCGTCCCGATAGCGCTGAATGTTCGAGAAATGTTAAAAAACCTCGTCAGGTTATGGCTATAGTTCAAAATCAATAAGTTTCACTTTTAACTACGCAAGATACAAACGCAAGTGGCTTGTTAGGCAGCAGGTCATCAGAAATAATGATTGACGTTACCTTCTCAAAGTAAATAAGGATGCATATAACTTTAAAAGAAAAAAAACCCTCATTACAGCTTAAAGTAGAGATATCTGTTACCTGAACTCGACTTCATTATTTGTTGGATTTGTATTTGACCGCTCAAGTTTCTCCCTCGCTGTCCTCTGCAGATTCTCGAAGTTATCTTCCTTGGAGTCTATGGATTGATATATGATGTTGATTTTCTCCTTAAAGTATTGTTCTTTATCAGCCAACTAGAAAATCATTGCATTGCAACAAGTGAAAAGAATTCAATGTCAATTTAAGTACACCGGTAAGCTACAAGAAAGGTTATCAGCTGTAATCATCAATTTGCAATACCATCCACCATGCGTGACAATCAACTTTTTCTAGTTAAACACAGAAAATGGGGTCCCGGAATCCTTATGTTACCTCGTGGAAGATAAAGTTAAAAAATGCTACCTCTTTTATGTTCTGCTCATGCTGCAATCTACTTTTCTGCATCTCTGTACAGCTTTCCTTTGTTGTCTGGTGAAGCTTGGTACTCAGTCGACCTAGAGATTCTGCAAGGACTTGTGAGTGCTGCTGTTCTTGAGCAACCTTCTTTTTAAGTCGGGTGAGCTGCTGACTATCGTCATTTATCTTCTTTATCTGGCTCTCAACCATCTCTTGGTATGATCTCATCTCAAATTTCAGCTTCGACTTTCCTGCTTGATCACATAGAGTATCGTACATGAGAAAGTTACATTGCCGTTAAAGAGAAAACGAAGAGAAAAGCAAAAAAGGAATTATAAATCATCTCTGCCAAGTTTGCAACGCCGCTAAAAGTAATATTTGCAAAGCAATCAGAAATGGTCAAAGTTTCAGTTTAATAATTTTTTCTTTTGCCATTTTGCTTCTCAATAAACCTTGTAATGGACCTTATTTATTCACCCTGTTGATCTCACAAGCCACATTTACCATCTTACGAACGTTTCTGCATGCTGGCACTCATGTACATAAATTGACACAACATTACGTTAGATGGGGGGGAGCAATTAGACCTTGAGAGTGTCGGTTAAATACATCCATGTCTTCTTTTATGGCAATGTAGCCGTAGAGTTGGCGCTTCCCACCAGGACAGAATAGAACCCGTGAGCTATCCCAAGCATCCCTATCCCTCCCTTGCTCTTTGAAATGCTTATGCAAGCGTGCAGCCTCTAAATACCCGGCTGCTGAGCTCTCAAAGATCAAAACACTCATCCCACGGTGCCCTCGTGGACCATAAGAGTGTCTCGCTTTTACTGCAGCATATGAGCTGAAGTAATTGAGAAGCTCTTGATTTCCCATTCCAGACCACTGATGAAATAACATTCAGTACTAAGCAGTCAGCAGTATATTAGTAAAAGAGGTATTTTACCAAAGAGAGAAAAAATATATATGCTATGTGTCATTTTCTTTGGCCGTATTATTTCTAACAGAAAATACGCAGTAAAGTACCTTTCCGTTTTCATCTTGTTCATATTTTGTATTCATAATGATAACCATTGGTGGCCAAACTATTTCATGATCTGTAACTCTATCATTAAGCCCTTCCCATCGGCCAAAGGCATCATTCTCTGGTTTAATTAAAGTTCCTCTCTTGCGCATCTCCTCAACCAAAAGTTCTGCAAATACTCGATGCATCTTAGCTCTCCGTGTTGTTTTGGTCATGGAATGAGTCAGTAAGGGCTGCAAACCTCGATACCAGTCGATGGCTCCTGGTCCACCATGACACGCAGGGCAGTGCCACTGCTGAACCGGTGAAATAATCTCCTCAACGGTTAATTTCTCTAATCTTTGGAAAAATGAATTAAACCACTTGCTCTTCTTGCGTGCTTCATGACTCTTCTCATCTTCATCCGAACCAAAACCATAGTCATCAAATTCATCGCTGTCGTACACAACATCCGGGTCATTGTTATCATATTCATTAACTATATTTTCACCATCCAAATTATCACCAACTTGGTGCTCTGTTTTAACTCGACTACCCAGTGAACTGCTAGAAAAAGTGAAACCAGCCTGAGCAGGACAGGTTCCATCAACTTGTCGGGTCCCTGCACTACCAAGTCTGCAGGAACTCGAAGAGGAAGCACTCTGAGTTGGCCCAGCATTGGCAGTACCCTTCTGAGAACCACTATTACTTTGCATCCCAAGTTTCTGAATCACATTTGGATGTCCCCATGCATTAGATGTAAAATCCTGATGAAACCCAGAATTCACAGCAACTCTGCTTTTGGACTCCCTTGTGTTCCCCTTGTCACCCTCCTTTGCAGAAGCTAGCTCGAGGTCTGCCGCTTTCTGATTTAGTTGATTAACTCGGCGACCAGAGACTTTATATACACTCCCCAATTCCGGAAATGGGTCAATAGCATCTGCCATGATGAATTTCCCAACAAAATTTCCTGAAACTTCTGTTTAAATGAAAACTATTCTTAGATCACTGTATTGAATGAAAAGATGGTGAATTTTCTTATTTCAAGAAACAATTCAAAGCCTATATTACAACCCAAAAAAATGCAAGCAAAAGAAGCTTAGTTATCAGAAGGTAAACAATGAATATCACCGATAAGCCCAGTTGTTGAGGGATTAAACAAGAATGATCCACGTGCTTTAATTACTACAATAAAACGTTCCAACAACCATATATAATATGAGGACCAACATTGGATATCTATCTATTCAGCGCACCCATCCTTATACACTCGGAACCCATTGAGTGGCATTGGTTGTAAAAGGGAATGTTGTTCTCCCTAAAGGACCTGAGTTCAAATAGTTGTGTCTGCAGGCCGTGTGCGCGTTGTCAATAGACTAAGAAAAATTATGAAAAGATATTACCTTATAATCACCTCAAATTATATATATATATATATAAACTTATAGACTCGGTTTCTTGGAATCAAAATGCCTATACCAGACACTTCAAACAATGCCATTTTGAAATGAAATTCGGCCAAGTGTAGATGAACTGATTGATTTTCTCTATGATGATTAAGCTACCTACTTTTGATTTACACATAGTGTACAACTTTTGAATCTTTCTTCTTAGCAAGAATTAAATCTAAAAACCCTCAATAATATCTTTCAATAGCTGATCGTGAGCAAAACAAGCAGCAAAGTTAACTATGGCAGACTATTGTAAACGAGTAAAACCAACATTTTGCTATCATTTTTTAACAAAAACAAGTTATTCAGCTGAACAGTGGTGAAAAAGGAACCTCTTTTCTTCTTCCAAGAACTCAAAACCATCAAATGACATAACACATGCATGCATTTATACAAGCACTTCATGAACGAAACAAACAAATATTTTAACCCCAGAAAAGCAAATGTAACTACAGCTTCATTAAGAACAAGAAACCATCTTTGAAATTCCCATGGAAGAACACATTGAAAAAGGTAGGTATTCTTACTTACCAGATGGAGTCTGAAGAGCGCAAAAGAAGTGGAGGTCCCTGCGGAGAAAAAAAGAAAGAGAGTGAGAACCATTAAAAATGGAAGAAGGGAGAGGAGTATGGCTATGTGAGGCGCACGCGCGTTGTGGGAGATAGGAACAGGTTAAAAGAAAAGAATAGACGGCTGAGTCTCCACCGAGTCAGGACTCGGGACCCTTCAACAGACTAGACAGACAGATAAATGTCGCGGACTTTCTTTCACGCAGGGAGTCTGCTTGCTGCATTACCCGCTTTTTATCTAATTGTAAATTGATTAAATGGAACAATTGCAGTTTTAGCCTTATTTTAAACTTAAAAAATTCAATCTAGTCCTTTATAATCTTTAAATAAATGGATTTGTTTAGTTTTAGTACCTTTAAAACTAAAAATACCCCCAATAAGGTGCCACACATCGGCCAAAATCACTCTCATGATGAAAGTTTACCTGGTTTGATGTCAGAGAAAAATCAATGAAACAGTTGTCGAAACAGATACATGTTACTTTCTATTGTATAAATTCAAACCTCCCATAGTTTGTTCTAAATGGGACATAATTTTCTTTAGGAGAATCGGTCGAATCGTGACACTTGTCAATTGATTATCTTTGTGATTGATATAATCAAATAAGAGAAAAACCTTAAGAACTGTCACTGAACCAGAAAGAAAAGG